CCCCAAAACCCCAAAACCCCAAAACCCCAAAACCCCAAAACCCCAAAACCCCAAAACCCCTTTTAGGGAAATATATACTGAATAATAATAAATTTTAGCATGGATTTTGTTAAGAAAGATGAAAAATTGGTTCAAGATGCTGAAGATAGTTTTAGACGTGACTTGTGAGTGAAGACAAAGAGCTCAAAAAGAACTCTGAAGATGGAACTGGATTTGTATGGAGGTGTGGGAAGAGTATTTTGGAGTCTTTTAGGACTGAAACTGAATGAAGTTGGCCTTGTTAGCTCCGATGAAGGAGATAAGGCTCTTTCAGTACATTTGGTTAATAGCATGGATGTATCTTATCTTAAGAGAGTTTCCGGCCTGAAGTCATGGAAGCTTTGGCCAAGCACGTATGAATTTCTAGAAATTAGTCATAATTCATTCCAAAGGAGAGCACAAGGATTTCTGAGGATCAAATCAGAGAAATGGCTCTTCAGGATGGTTTCTAAGGCAACTAAATCAGTCAGCTTGGCTGGGTTAGACCTACAAGAGAGAAGTATGAAGAAGGTTATTGTTCATAGCCAAGTTTATAACTTATCTCTTTGTGAATGCCAGATTGTTGTGCCAACCAAGCAAGGTTGGCCTAGATTAAAGCAGTAAGTCTTTTATGAGGGTACTACACTCATTTACTCGTTCAGAGACAATCCTCTTTTGGTTGATTTGCAATTAGCTTTTAGAGTTATGTACATGGATTCTGAGTTCAAATCTTGAGCTAAGTTAAGGTATAATACAAAGGGTTTTATATTTTGCTTATAGAGTCCAGAACAAGGTTTTGCAAAAACTTATGATTACAAGTTGTCAGATTCTGAGCGGAAATGAGTCTGAGGAACAATCTGAGTCTTTTAGTGCTTTTTTGGATCTTTTTGATGAGGTTTGTGTGGTTTTAGGCCAGATAGAGCTGAAGGAGCTAGGGGTGATCTCTGAGGAGGGTATCTTGTACTTGAATTCTGAAGGTAAAATATTTTTGAATCATTCTTTTTGCTAAAGTTGGAGAAATATTTTAGGTTTACTTTCAAAATTCCTTTATATTTAACATTTTCTAGATTTATTGAATCTGCCAAATTGGAATATCGAAAGTGAGCCTAAAAGGTTAGTCAATGCAGGAGCAAGTAATGCACCTCAGAATATATACTTGCCTGGATATATTTTGAAAAAGAAGTCAAAAGAGGACTCACAAAACTGTTCTAAAAGAGGTTGAATAATCCAATAAAATATCGGATCAATATTTGAGATATTAAAAGGGGTTTTGGGGTTTTGGGGTTTTGGGG